GGTTCTATACAAATGGCAGCAAATCCTCATGACAACTTGAGAGGAAGTTATCAGTCAGGCCTTGTGGTGGCAAGTGACAGAAACCCGGTGTGAACCGGCACAGGGCAGGGGGGCGAGGCTGTGCCCGAGGACGAAGGACAGGACTGCACCAGCCACCTGCCCACAAAGTCGGCCCCGTCCCCAGCGCTCAGTGACCACCGGCACCCTGTGATCCAACTGCCGCATCCCCTGGACAATTCCTCGGCCATTGATCACAAGCTGCCCGCTGACGCTGCCCAGGGCACTGCATCGAGCGGTTGCTTGGCTCTCACGTGGCTTTTCCCTGGCTCGCCCGGGGTGAAAGGTTGGATGAGATGGACTCCAAGGTGCTCCCAGCAGTTACAATTGATGTCCTCTAATTTTATGACTCTCATATTTTTCTGCCAGGAAGCTTCTGAGCTGCCGCAGCCCAGAGGCTGAGAGTCGATGGGTCAGGGCTTCCCTCACGTGGTCTCCAAACCCTGATGTCCCCGGGCACTCGGGAGGTTTTAGATGAAATGAGAAGGATTGGGGGAATTTCGCTCACTCACGACTTGCCAGCATGGAATGTGAAATGGTGACTTTTGCCGTAATTGCTTTCTTCTTAAAGGTGCCATGTGCTCGAGGGCTATTGATCCACCTCCAACAGTGGGTCCGAAGGCACTAATCTCCCCTGGACGGGGCGCTGTGAGCGAGCCGGGCACGTATTTCCATTTTGTGCGTTATTGCTTGTTTGCTAACAGTGCTTCCCCCTCCCTTATTGTCAAGAGGCCGAACACTGGAGTCAGCCTGCCAGCGCTCATCTCCTCTCTGCCACGAAAACCTGTGTAAGTTGCTTACTCTCTCTGGGGCTCCGCCTCTTCATCGAAGAACAGGGATCAAGTGAAGCCTACATCTTCTGATTACTGTTGCTGCTTAAAAATTCAAGTGGCACAAAAAACAACAGGGTGCAGAGCCATTGTACTGGGCTCACAGTGTCATGGGTCAGGAGGTTCTGCAAGGGCTCAGGTGGGCGGTTCTTGCTCGGGGTCCTCAGGCAGGTAGAGACAGACGCCCACTGCGGCTGCTGCCACCTGACCGCTTGGCCAGGCTGCACTGGACCTCCTGGACGACTCATTCACACGGCTAGCATCTGGTGTCCACTGCAGGCTGGTGGCTCTGTCAGAGCTGGGGAATGAGGTGTCTGCTTCCAGCCTGGCAGTATTGGGGCAGGTGGGCTTTTACGTGGCGGCTGGCCTCCCCCCAGAAGGAGTGTCCTGGGAAAAAACGGGCAGAAATGGCATGGTCTTTCCATACCTGGCCTTGGAAATCACAAAACATCGCTTTCACTGCCTTCGGCTGGTGGGTGGCGAGTCACTAATGCAGCCCAGACTAAAGTAGAAGGGATGGAGATGCCACCTGTCAACAGGAGGGGCGTCGGAGCACTGGGCCCCTGTTTTTAAACGACCATAATGCACATCAATCACTTAGAATCGTGCTTGGCACCTAGCAAGCCCTTGAACGTGTTTGCTGTTGTGCTGCAGCCCCAAAGGAAAGAAAGGGATTGGTCCACAGAATGGGTTATTGAAACATGCAGGTAGGAATGCAAATATTAATAAAACATTGTCATCCAGAGGCAGGCATGATGCGGAGTAGTGAATAGGATTTGATATGCCTGCGGAATGCGCTGGTTTAGAGACGTATGATTTTGTAGAGTCAAAGGAGAAAAGTAAAAATAGGAAGCACAACCCTAAACACCCGAAAATGGAGTTGCGTCATCCCCGGGACCAGTGTGGGGTCTCTCGTGTCAGCTCACATGGCGCTGGTCAGGAGCCTTTGAAGTTTCCACATCTTTCTCCCCACAAAACAACCAAGGCATTGCTCTGGGAAACCAATGGAGTGTTTCTAGAACAAGCACAAAATAAAGCTTTCCAACACAAAATTGATGACTTCCATCACTAAAGGCAGTGAAGGGACTGAAATCGCAGCGGTGCTGTTCAAGGTGGCTGGCCTCGTGGAAGAGTCAGGCACATGCCACTCTATTGCTGGGACACTTATAAAGCCAGCCACAAAGCAGACAACAAGTCAGAGAAAAAAGATGATTTGGCTATTGACAAAATTGTTTTTTATCAAATAGCACTATTGGTAGTATTGGGGGCAGGGGTTTCGTGTAATTAATGGCCAATGATGTAGAAGATCAGCAATCATCACACATGTGTGCTGGCTGATAGTTCCTTTTATGGATGCACAAGACCACTGCTGTGGAGGGCATCTCAGACTATGGCACATGGAAGGGAGGGTGTGGCCGGCAAGCCCCTTTCTTTATCTTAGCTGAGCCCTAGCTGCCTTCAAAGAGGCCGTGTGTCCTGCACTCAGCCAATCCTGAGAATCCTATTCCTGACTTCCCAGCCTCCCTTGCAGCTACGAGTAGCTATGTGATCCAATTCTGACCAATGAGATTGAAGCAGAAAGCAGTTGCTGGGTGTCTAAGAAAGTTTATGTTTCCTCTTCGTTTAAAAGAAGGCAGGCACGACTGGTGGGGGCCCACGTTTCTTTCCTCTTCTTCTCGCCTGGGATTCTGGCATAATGCTGGAGCCAACTGTGGCAGCCATCCTGTCCCACCTCAAGGCTGCTTGTCGCAGGAGGAAAATAGTTCCTAGGTGTCGGGCATGTACCTTCTCCTCTGTCCCCAAACCACCAATTTCTCCTTTCCATGTTCACCCAAGCCATCGACGACCTTGTTTTCCAACTCACTGAGAAAACAGAAGCAATGAGAGAAGAGGCTCCACCGGTCACCTCATTGCCCTGAGGCCGAGGTGCCATGGTGCCCCAGACCCCACCTCTCTCGCCCCCTCAAGGCTGCTCCTCCTGCACGTCCCTTCTTCCTCCTACAACCTCATTGCTCCTGTTTCCTCTCTGGGATCATTCACAGCACCACACACCTACTGCTATTTCCCCATCTTTAAAAATTTGTATTCTTTGCATTCACATTCCTATTTCTCTCCTTTCCTTGATAGAAAGAAAAACGCCCAGAGACCCATCTCTGTTTGCTCACCCCCGGTGGTCTTTGTCCCTCCCCCCACCCTTCGCCTCACCTCTGACTTGTCCTGTCAGCCACATTAGACACCTCGGACCACCCCGTCCCTCAAACCCTCCCCTCGCACCTCTTGGAAGGATGTGTGTTGTCTTATTCACTGCTCCTTCACCGCCGCGGGGGTCAGCACTAGTCACGGAATGCATGAAGAGACTGCTGGCTGTCCCCCAATGTCCACTCTCCCTTTCTACAGAATTCGACGTTTCACCAAATACACAGTTGCCCAGATAAAGACTACATTTCCCAGCTTACTGTGCAGACAGGTGTGGCCATTTGACTGCATTCTGGCCAATGGAATGAGAGCAGAGATGAGCTATGCAATTTCCTAAGGAAAAGTGTGTACCTCTCCTTTGTTTTCCTGCCCTTACCGTGGGCTAGAATGGGGGTGCAACGGCAGGAGCTGGAGCAGCAGGTTAACCCAGACAGTGGAGCCGCCCGTGGCTTAAGAAAGGCAGGCAATACAGTAAAAAGTTGCCACCTATCAGCACCGGCCACCTTATGCTCAAACCGGGCAGACAGACAGAGGTGGGTCAGGGAGGGAGGGAGACAGGAAATTTCTATCTTGTTTAAATCACCGTTATTTTGTCTGTTGTAGCAGACAGACCTACACCTCAGGACTACACCTTTACTTACTAAAGCATTTGTGGCTGGATTTCCCACCCCCGCAGCCTGCCCTGCACACACTCAAGGGAAATGCACCCCACGGTCTACTGGGGTCCTGTTCGTCACACGGCGTGGACGCTGCAGGGGAGACCACTTTCGGTTCGGCTGACCATTACTTTGTGAGCCACAATAAAGACCGGAAGAGGCTGGCTCTTGGTCTCCGTGTGGCCTGCGTGCGAGGGAGGGCACAGCCGCCACTCGGAGGACCGAGGCCCTCGCTCGGGAATGCCAACACTCGGCGCTATTCACAGCGAGCAGCTGGTGGGCAACAATGCGCCTCCCGATCTTCATTCAGCACCAAGAGAAATTGAGAAAATTGGTGCAATCAAACCAAGGCCAGCGAGTGGACATCTTTGGAGCCAGCTGTCCGAGGCGTAGGGCCAAACGAGGACCTGCTTTTCCAACCTGCGCAACCCTCGCTAGCGCAGGACCGTGCACGTCCGATTTTTGTAAACGAGGGACAGGATTAGAAGTCTCTGTGGCAGTTACACCAGTGAGAGCCATTCACTTGATTTTAAGAAACATGACCTGGCTGCACAGCCAGCACCGTGAACCATCTGATTCTGCTGCCACAGGGCCAAATTGGAATTTCCACAGCTGATGCCAAGATGCCAGGTTTCCTAAGCCCCAAACTGTGGGCCACATTTCTTGATCCCCATGAGGCTGACTCTGTCCTAGCCCTTGATGATTTTCCCCACTGCTCAGGGGAGAAATCAATGCCATGGCGATGAGCATATCAGAGCCCCATCCGAGAGCCTCTGCCACCAAGGAACCCTAATCCTCTCCAGTGTGAAATGTGACCGAAGCAGAGTGTGGGCTGTCTGTCCCGATGACGTTCCAGCTCTCTAGTGTGCTGTGCGTGGCTTTTCTCCTCTGATGGGCGCTAGAAAGAGGCCTCCGCAAGAAATCACTTCTTTGTCACTTCAGGGACGGTGTCCAATCCCCAAAGCCCAAAGCCAGGCACCTGCACCCCCATCTCCGACAACCTGTGGCTGAGTGATGGGTTCTCTGGTTTGTGAAATCAAGAGCGAAAGGAAAGCAGCTGCCTGGATGGGAACCATGAGCTGCTGGTCAAGCTGGCTCATAGCCCGGCCAGATTGGGCGGGGAGGGGGCCTGGCCCATTCGTCCACTCAGCGAGCAAAGGTTGCAGGCCTACTATGTGCCAGGAACACAGGGGCCTGGGGGATCAATGGTGAACACTAAACAATGAAAATAAAAAACGGAGAAGGATTACAAACAAAATCATCTCTCAACAACAAACCCTTTTTATTGTGGTAACATACACACAGCGAAATTAACCATTTTTTTAAATTAACCATTTTTAAGTGCAGAGTTCAGTGGCATTAAGCACATTCACACAGTTGTACAATCATTGCCACTCTCCATCTCCAAACTTCTTCATCTTGCAGAACTGAAACTCTGTCCCCGTGAACCACTGACCCCTCCATTTCCCTCTCCCGGCTCCTGGGACCCTCCACTCTCCTTTCTCTGTCTGTATAAATTTGGCCATCCTGGGCACCTCAGAGAAGTGGAATCACACAGGGTTTGTCATTTTGTGTCTGGTTTCCTTCCCTTAGCATGATGTCTTCAAGATTCATCCATGTGGTAGCACCAGAATTTGTTCCTTTTTAAGAACTGCATAATATTCCACGGTGTGTGTTTGCTTCATGTGTTCCGTATTTGGTTTACCCACTCATCTGTGGAAGGACCCACTCATCTGTGGAAGGCTGTTGCCAGCTGTGGCTATTGTGAATAACACTCTGTGAACCCTGGGGTACAGGGCACTTTCAAACCCCTTTGAACGTGTGTGTACCAAGGAGCGGAACTGCTTGTTCACATAGCAACCCGACATTTCACCATCTGAGGAGCTGCCAGACTGTTTTCCACAGTGGCCGCACCATCTTACCTTCTAGCATTAATTGTCAACACAGCTTATTTCAATTTTTTAAATTATGACAGATTTTTTCTAGCTTTACCTAAGATGGGTGGTTCACCTGGGCCCCTTGTGCCATTACACAATCCAAGATGTCACAGGTCGGAGCAAGCTGCTCTGGTGGTTTTCGGTTGTGAGGTCTGGGATCAGAGGACAGAGATGCTGGGGCTGAGAGGTGGGCCACCTGGGACAGGGCCTATGAGTGCACTTCCAGGCCCCACGGGTGGACGCTGGCTCGGGCAGCACCGTCTTCCCCAAACTGCAGGGGCCTTGTCTGGGGAGGCGTGGGGATTCCTGCTGAGCAGCAGAGCCAGGCCTCGGGGATGGAGAGGAAGAGGCAGACCTGGGACAGACGCAAGAGAAGAGAGCGAGGCCTGGGGACCCAGCTGAGAGAAGCCTGTGTCCCAGGTCCCCTGCCCAAACTGGCTGCGGGCCAGCACCATGGTTGAGAAAGGCTGAGAGAAGAGAAAAACATTCACTCATTCAACAAACATCCTCTACGCACTGCTGGGAGCTGGTTTACTACGGAGATGGACTGGCCCTCCTGTGCATCTGTCTTCACCAACTCACCCCAGCCTGCTGAAGCTCCCCCCAAAACCCCCTCCCACACAGTAATAGCCCCCGCTCATGAGGGGTTCCCCAGGTGCCAGCCGCACTCAAAGGACTGGACGATGATTAACATTTAATCCTCCCAACAAGCCCCATTTCCCAGGTGAGAAGGTAACTATGGCCCAGAGAGGCTGAGTAGCTTTCCCAAGATCACACAGCTGGTGAGCGGGGCAAACCTCTCTCTTTGCCCCAAACTGCCTCTCTAAATGCAGGTGCCTTTTCTGAAGACATGGAAGGTGACCCAGACATCACACACTCCACAGGATCTGATATTTTCTGAAGTTCCTCTTGGTGGCTAGGATGCCACCAAGGATTTCTTCTTGTAGCCGTCCCCCACTGTCCCTGTTCCTCCTTCCCCCTGCCCAGATGCCTGCAGTGCCCACCCCCAGCCTCAGCCCTCTGCAGTGACGAATCCCTCCTCCTTCTGCAAAGCAGCAACTGACAGGCAAGCCACCATGGCGGCCTCCACAGCAAGCCTGGCCCTCAATGCTGGCCCCACCTCCCTGAGAGCCAGCAGGACTGCTGAGAGCAAATATTTTTCCCCTCTGTCACAGAGAGTAATAGACTCTTGAAAAATCACACACTCAGAGGATCACAGCTGAATCTTATAATCTGAGGCTCTCCATCAAAGAACCTTAGAACCATCAACTAATAGAATCTCAGAGTCACGGACTCGAGAATCCCAGGACACTGCAATCTCTCCATAATGCCCCTGGGGCAGCCCAGGTCGGGGGGACCCACACAGGTCAGGCCGGGAGAGTGAGGGGTCAGGAGGCATGGAAGCCTCTGGGCCCAGCGTCCAGGGTAGGGTGGAGGAGGGGGGCTCAGCTCATGTCACGCTAGAGAAAGCAGTTGGCGGGTGAGGCCTGGCTCTATTACTGATGGTTTTTAATTATGTAAATCAGCCCAGGGCCTGCGCCTGGCACGGGCTTGGCATTCGTCAGCTGGCAGCAGAATTAATCAATAAATAACCAGCTGCATGGGGCCTGGGCCTGAGCACTCAGCCACACCCCCACGGCCACCCCAGAGAGGTCCTCCCAAACTGGCTGTGGGGGGAGGGATTACGTGAGAGCTCCAGCTCACAGCTGTTGGTGCACTTGTACACACATGTGCCCATACACGCACACACACCTGTGCAGACACAGCACACATGCAGCTTCGGACTTGCGGTGTGCATGCCCGCCCGCGCCCAGCAGCCCCCACGGCCAGCACACTCTCCCCGCCTGGGGACCGGCCTAAACCCAGAGGCACAGCAGCAGGAGACAAGCCCCTCATTCCAACCTCACACTTGTCATCTCTTCAGTGGCACAGAGCTTTGCACACAGTCACACCACTTTACCTCCACCACCGCCCTGTGAGTCTGAGGCCCTCATTTCAATTTCACAGATGAGGAAACTGAGGCTCAGAGGCGGGACTTGCCTAGGATGGTACCCAAGGGTCCTTCCTCCGCATCCTACCCCCACTTGGTTCCAAGAGGCTGCAGGCCCAAGAGAAGTGGGGAAGAGAAGTGGGAGGTGGGCTGCCGGGGGGTGCTGGGGCCCTGAAGCTCCCGGGGCTTGCCCCCTGCCCCTGACAGCAGGGTTCTGGGCGACCTGGCAGAGAGCAGGGCGGGCTGGGAGGCCAGGCTTGGGTTTGCTGGTCAGGCTTCCTGACCAAGGCCGAGGAACTGGGCGTTGGCCCTCTCTGCTCTCCTAGGGAGCTGTGATGAATTGCTCCCCCACACCACCGGCACACTCACTCCTGCTCCCCGGCGCTCCCCCCATAAATCAACCTACTCTCAGCCTTGGCCTTGGTCACGCTCCAGCACTGGGTGGGGGAGTCCACCATCCCTGGAGGTGGGAGGATGCTGGCAGGAAGAATCACAAAATTAATGGACAGGTTTCCTCTTCCCCTCCCTTCCCTCTGCCTCTGGCTTCCTTCCCGCCTCGACTTCTCTCTGGCTGGGGGGACCGCTACATACTGAATGAGGAAATGAAGTGAGCCGTGAACGAACTCATGAACCGTGGGGTGCCGTGGGTCTCGGTCTCTGAGTCTGGCTGGCTGTGCAGCGGGGATCAGCTCCCATCAGCCCCTTCTCTCAGTCTCAACCCAGGGCCTCCCAGCAGCCATGGCTCTGGGAGGCAGGAGGAGCAGACTCAGGGGGCCCTGGGGGAGGCTGGGAAAGGACCTGAAGAGCCAGGGCCCCCAAGCGCTGTTACCCTTTGGCGCCACCACCCCTTGGAGCAGCGGATAAAAACTGCGCTTCTGCACAGGTCCTGGACACGCAGCGCTGAGGTTTTGAAATTGCATGCAGCAGCGGTCAGTGCCTCGGCCTCTGGAGCCAGCCTCAGAAGCTGTGTGACCCTCAGCAAGCTGCTTCCCCTCTCTGTGCCTCAACTTTCTTCTGTGTAGAGTGGGGTGAGCAATCACACCTGCACCACAAGTGAATGTGTGCACACCCCCCAGAAGTCAGCGGCAGACACTGTCAAGTACTCGAAAAATGAGCGATTGTTGCCCTGATTAAAGGCACCAGTTGGCAGGCCCTAGTGTGGTCTGAACCCCCTGGGGGGCTTCAGACCCAGGCTGCTGCTCAACCCCCACCCTCACTCTGCAGTCCTTCAGCCTCAGCAGGTCCGCGAGGGGCCCAAAGGTTGCATTTCTAACCCAGTTACCTGTTGCTGGTCTGGGGGCCACACTTGGAGAACCCAGGGAAGTCGGGCTGGTGCTCACTGTCCAGCTCGGCTCCAGGCCACACACAGTGCAGGTGGCCCGGGCCTGGGCAGGAAGGGGACAGCACCAGCACCAGCAACCCCTCCATCGCCCCCCCCCCACCCGACACGGCCCCAGAAACAAAGAGGCAGAATTTGCCTCCCCGGCCAAAGGTAATCTTTTAATCTCTTTGGCTTTAATCTTGCAGCCCAGCTTAAATCCAAATCCACACAGGAAGCTAAGTGGGTGGTGAGGACAGAGCCAGTGACCTGGGGAGGCAAGTGATCTGGGCTTTAACCCCCATACTTCCCCACAGATCTCCTATCCCACGTCCCATCTCTGCCTTCCTCACCCCTGCGCCAGGGTTGGCACTGCTAATAGGAGATGGGGAGGCAGAGAGCAGCCAGGCGGGCCCGGGACAGGTGGAGTCGTGTGTTACAGAGACTCTGCTTTGGGAGGCAAAGCCCGCTTCAACCACACACACCAAAACACTTAACCACAAAAGAAAAAATGATAAACTGGGTTTCGATGAAATCAAGAACTTATATTCAGCAAGAGACACCATTAAGAGAAATAAAAGCCAACTCACAGATTTGAGACACATATCTAAGGAAGGACTAGTACCCCAGCATATATAAAGAACCCCTGGAAATCAATAAGGAAAAACAAGCCATGGTCTTTTAACTGGCTCGAGATGTGACCTGGCACTTGACAAGAGAACATCGAAACGGCCTGCAGTGCACTTGAAGGCACATTTGGCATCAGCAGCCATCACAGACACGCCGAAGGCAGGCGCTGTAAACTGCCCTTCACACCCACAAGGACAGCCAAACCAGAAGAGCGGCGACACCCAGGGTGGGAAAGATGAGGCTCCACCTCCGGCACAGCCAGTGGGAGGGGCTCAACCCAGTTGACGGACAGTGTGGCGTTTCCACAAAGTTGAGCGTAGACCGTGTCTGTGACCCGGCTCTTCCTCTCCTAGGCGCCTACCCCAGAGAAGTGACGGCATCAGTGTGTGCAGGGACTTGGCCCTGAATGCCCACTGCGCTTCACTCGTGACAGCTCTGGACAGGAGAGGACCCAAATGTCGTCATGGGTGAGTGAAAAACAATGGTGATCTGTCCCCATAATGGAAAATCACTCAGCAGTTTAAAAGAATCAACAGGCCACACCTGGACTCCTCCTGAAGTCATTGATTGGGCTGAGTGCAAGGAGCCAGTGAGAGAGAGCAGGCTGTGTGTTTACAAGAAGTGCGAGAACAGGCAAAAGCGGTGTCTCCTGACCCAGGTCGGGAGAATGGTCGCCTTCTGGGGAGAGTTAGGGGCTGGGAAGGGACATGAGGGAGCCCTCCCAGGGCCCCACGGATGTGGAGGGGGGAGGGCATGGACTAGGTCCCTGGGCGGGATCACCTGGGGCTGGGCCTACAGGAGAGAGTCCAGAGGTCTTCCCCAGAAGGGCCACCCTGTGCTGGCCCCCCTTGTAACAGTGGAAAATTGTAACACTGGGGAGTTGTAATCCACTCACCATTCTTTTGACATTGTTTCGGTAAATGCTGGCTCTCATAGTACCCTGCAGACAAACAGCATGTTTGTATAAGAATTCTAGGAACTAACTTCAAAATGCTCAATCCAACCTTCAGGCAACTCAGCCCTGGGAGACTTGCTGACCTTCAGCCGTGGGACCAGGATGACGTGAAGCCAAGATGACGTGAAACCAGGGTGACTAAGCCAGGATGACGCACGCCAGACTGTCACTTGTCTTATCGGAATACACTGGGCTCGTCTGCAGGTGGAGAACTGTGCAGCCCCCTCCCTTGATCTTTGTGTTCCGTCCTCGTCTCCCTCCCTGTAAAAACCTTTGCCTGCACGGAGAGGGGGAGATGGGCTTTGAGACTCCAGTCCCCCAACTGCCAGGTGTCGGGCACCTGAAAATAAACCACTTTCCTTTACATCAGCACCCACCTCTCAGGTACTGGCTTCCGTAGCTGCAGGCAGCTGGACCTGCGTTTAGGTTACACCCTCACTCCCAACACCCCAGCCTACCCCTCTCCTGCCCCCGAGCTGGACCAGTCAGGCGCCCCAGCTCAATGACACCCTGACGCCCCCACACTTGCCTGCAGGCACACAGAGCCCCTGCCCAGCAGCCTCTCCCTCTCCCCTCAACTCCGCCATGGTGGGCCAGCAGACCCCCTTCCCCAAGGCTGGAACTGCTACAGGATACTAAGGGGGGAATTATACCCCAAACCAGCCGGGCCCCTTCCCCTCACCCTCTCTGGCTGTTTGGTCTGAAACCGTTACAGCACCCAGAGAAAAAAAGCACAAGCTTCACCTTGGGGTGCCTGGGACTCTACTGAACTCTGGCAGAGATCATAGGGTACCCTTAAAATATGGTGTCTCCCCCGGCTGGTGTGGCTCAGTGGATTAAGTGCCAGCCTGCGAACCAAAAGGTTGCCAGTTCGATCCCCAGTCGGGGTACATGCCTGGGGTTGTGGGCCGGGTTCCTGATGGGGAGGTGTGTAACGGGCAGCCACACATTGATGTTTCTCTCCCTTTTTCTCCTCTCCTTCCCCTCTCTCTAAAAATAAATAAATAAAATATTTAAAAAATACATCCTGTCTCCCTTTTACCTTAGTAACAAGCGCTCGCATGGAAATGTGCCCCCGGCCAAAAGATTAATTTTCTCAGCCCCCCTTGCAGCTAGAAGAGGCCAAGGAGGCGCAAGCATTAAGTTGTTAGGCAGCATAAAGGGAAACATTCCATTGGTCTCTTCCCACCGGCTCCCAGGAAAGTAGGTGTGATGATGGAGAACCAGCAGCCATCTTGGAACATGAGGTGACCTTGAAGATGAAAGCCATACACTCAGGAGCCTGGGTTCCTAATGACCCCCCTCACTATCATCAACCCTGGATGCCTACTTCCTGACACCTTTTATATGTATGTGTGTGAGAGAGGGGAGGAGAGAACGAGACCTCAGTCTGCCTTAATTCGCTGTGTCCCTCCGCCAGCCTTGGGACGCAATCCCTGACTGATACACAAAAGCCTTGTGAAGGAATACTACTGTGCACTGCCCCCCCCCGCCTCCCATTTTGGAGATGCACCCCCAGCCTCCCTGCCTCCCTCTCAGACACCCAGGTGACCAACAGACCAGCCTCCGAGTCCCAGCTCCCGGGCCCTGCCCATGGTGATGGCGTTCCATGCGGACCTGCCGATCTGCGGCTGGAGCTGTTGACGTAAGTGCTGGACAGCGCGCCTGTCGGAGAGATAAAGGGGCCACGGGATAATAGCTACAAAGAGCAAACACACAAAACAAACACCACCCAGGTGGTGAAAGAGTGTCCTTTAAACTCCTCATCTGCCTTTGCCATGTGAAACCGAGTCGATGGCGAGAAGCTCCAAACCCCCACCAGGACCACCCTCCTGGGCTGTCCTACGACACCCGGCACAGAGTCACCACGGGCACTGGACGGCCTGGCTTCCCACCACTGCTCTGTGGGCTGTGTCATCGCAGGGCAAATTCCCTACCCTCTTTGTGCCTCCGCTTTTCCATCCGTAAAAGGGGCACCCAGGGAGGGTTACGGGAGTAGACCTGGGAAGGGCTTGGAGCGGTGCCAGCTACACAGGAGGAGCAATAAGGATCAGCAGCCATTGTCACGTTCGCGGTGGGAATGTCCTTTCCTTATCGTCCGTTTGTCAGAGGAAACTGAATTTACCCACCAGTTTCAGCACATGGCGTTTGCTGACTTCACGCTCCCTGTAACTAATTCTGCCGAGAGTCTCCTGACACCAGAAGGAGCAACCCAGAGCCTTTGCTCTCACTCAGGTTGATGCAGGTGAGTATCCGTGGTGGTTACAAGTCATTCATTTGTCAAGCGCAAGGTCGAGAATCTCAATTTGTCCGTGTCATAAGGCAGAACCAGGAAGCTCCCTGCGTCCCAAACTCTCTCCCCTCTGACCCTGGCTGAAATTGCACCCTGAGAGGCAGAGAACCCCTAGGAAAAGAAGCAGTTCAGAAGCACAGCATCTGGAAGACAGATCAGCCGGGGGAGGGGATCGTGGCAAGATTGAGCCGCATCACAGGCAAATTTTGGATTTTGGGGGGGAGCTGAGGATTCTGCAGCCACCAAAAGCTGTGAATTCAGTCTCCTCCACCTACGCAAGTATGTGCATACACACACTCACTCACGGGTACCAACCATAATCTCTTTATCCCCACAGCAGGGGCCTTAAGCTGCTATCTGGGCTAGCCCTACCCCCTCCCCAGCTGCACCAGCCCCTCTGTCCCAACGGGGTGGGAGGGTTCCCGGAGGCTGAGCAAGGAAGCAGGGCTGGAAGCCTGTGGGAACACACTCATGTACCCATGCACAGACAGACAGGCAGAGTCCCCTGGGACCCGAACCCTACCAGGGTTCTCCTTCATCCCCCACCCCCTTCCTGCTACTCGAGCCCTTCCAGGGATCTTTTCACTCCCACGTACGTCCTCCATGAACCCTTCTCCTTGCCCCAGGACCTGTGAGAACCCAAGAACAAGGGTGACCCTGCCACATTTCTGTGGCTTCCGCAGCCCCCATCCCAGGGTGCTGGGACCCAACACTCCCTTCCCTTGACTGAGTCTCACTCCTCTGTCTGGAAGCTGCCGGTTCCTCTCACTTCCGGCAAGCATGTGAAGGCACAGATTAGAGCAATTAGACACAAGTCACTGGAGGGCCGGCAGGAGCCCCCACCTCCCCGAAATATCCAGCGAGGAGGCGCAGAGAAGCCCAGGCCCCCTCACAGAACACGCATCCACACAGACTCCGAGGCAGGAGGGCGGGAGACTTGGGCTGCCAGGCTCCCGGTTAGACTCTCCTGTTCCGGTGGAAACCCGCCCTCCCCTGTCTCCAGCCGCTGTCCCGGAGGCCACACTCTCAGGAGAGGCAGGCAGGGCGGGAGCGGCTTCGGCCCCATTTCAGAGCAGGGAACACTGCAGCACAGGGGGCTGGGGAGGACAGCCGCACTGTCCACCTGACAACCGCTCTTCCTGCTGAAGAGCACCCGCTGTCCCCGGGAGAGGCCCCAGGGACCTGTGGTCCTGCGCTCTGCCCCTCTCCTCTCCCTGGGAAGAAT